GTTGCATTAATGGCTTCTGCATACAGGACGCGGTAATGTCTGCCGCGCAGCAGAAGTCCGCGCGACAGCCAATCAATATGTTGTTTTTCCGTAAGAGCTAGAAGATTATTACGGAAAGCAACATATTGATTGGCTGTCGTGCGAACTTCCGCCGCGCGGCAAGCATTACCGCGTTCTGTGTACAGGAGCCATTATTGTACATAATTACTTGAAAAAGAAATACTAGAATAAATTTTGAAATACTAAATAGTACACCGATTGTGCCTGACGGTACTTCCACAGCAGTGTTTGAGATCGATATTTCGGCCAAATACATGATTTTTAATATTTAATTAAAATCATCTGGATGACTCACAAACCTTTTTAATGATACTTCATAACTCTTCATACGAAATACAAACGATACCATACCGAACCTTTGTTTAATTTACCTCCGGTCATTATTTCCGGCTAAATACATGGTCCAGAAAAGAACAATTAATTATAAGTAATAAAATGACTCACAAATCTTTTTATTTGCACTTCAAAACTCTTCATACGAAATACAAACGATACCATACCGAACCTTTGTTTAATTTACCTCCGGTCATTATTTCCGGCTAAATACATGGTCCAGAAAAGAACAATTAATTATAAGTAATAAAATGACTCACAAATCTTTTTATTTGCACTTCAAAACTCTTCATACGAAATACAAACGATACCATACCGAACCTTTGTTTAATTTACCTCCGGTCATTATTTCCGGCTAAATACATGGTCCAGAAAAGAACAATTAATTATAAGTAATAAAATGACTCACAAATCTTTTTATTTGCACTTCAAAACTCTTCATACGAAATACAAACGATTTAAAAGAATAGTTTTCCAACCGGAGTTTTTTCCGGTCAAGTACATACGAATATCGGATGCGAGAGTTTACTAAATATGGTTGTTACTAAACCGGTTTTAAGCTGTCGTGTAAACTTAGTCATATAGCATGTTCGACTGGCTCTGGGTTAACCATTCTGGGTTATTCAACCTACGTTTATTGGTCAAACAAGTACTTATAAGCTTTATGATTGGCTAGTAGAGACTTATGACGTCATTAATCGCTCTCGGAGCGATTAACCCAGGGCCAGTCGAACACGCTAATAGAGAGTATTCGGATGAGGAATCTGAACGCACTCTAGTATAGACATTTGTGTATAAATATAAGTAACGTTGTAACAATGTCAGGAACGAAGGAAAGAACAAAAGTTAAGAAGCATATGAAGTAAGTCTTACAAATAAATAGTACTTGAAAAATTGAGTAGTTAGAAAATTGATTTAAAAAGTAATTCTATAGAATACAAATCAGTGTTATTAAAGTTGCATTCCAAACCATCTTTTTCGAGGAAAATTTTATTCTTAAATCTATAGTTCATGTTACATACACTATAAACTTAAGAGTAAAATTTTCCTCGAAAAGGATGTTTTGGAATGCAACCTAGATTGTTATCAGACAAAATAGATTGTATTTTACAAATATAACCTCACTACAAACATAACCTTTAATTTTACAAATATCATATCAGATTCAGAATAATCGACCCCGAATACTTCTATATATAAATGCACAAGTCATAAATTTTCATAGTTTTTGTAAAATTGAATTTATTCATAAAAAATCATCGTTTTTACCGCTTTGTACTATATAACATAGTTAGGATTATGTTAAAATAGCTTTTATAATTTATAATAATAAAACAAATTTAGTAGATGTTTCTGTTCCTAAATTTAATATTTGTTTTAGAAAAATTGACCTGCAGCTAGCAATAATAAAAAAGAAACAATGTGATGCAAAGGCACTTGCAATAGTTGAACAGCTCTTGGAGCCAAATGTGAATTCTGACTGGCTTATTCAACATGTAAACATGCTCTAACTACATTATTACAACTATTTATTTTAATTATATATTTAATAGTAGATAATATATGAGTAATATTTGTTAATTTTATAGTTGAAATTTATAAATAAAACACATATGGAGGATGTAATAGAGGAAAGAACTATTGTAAAATTATGTGGATATGTTCTTTGTTCAAAACCATTGACTGCTATCATCAAGCAACAGTATTGTATATCAACGCGTACAAATAAGGTATATGATATCAGTAAACGTAAGAAATTTTGCAGTTCAAAATGCTATGGTGCATCTAATTATCTTCTGGAACAAATGCTTGAGAGTCCACTGTGGTTAAGAGAAAAAGAGGTCATACCTGACTTTAAAATATTGCCTATAAACTCTGTACCACCTTTACCTGGAGATGAAGTAAGAATTAATTTCTTGCAAAATACAGATACCGACAATATTGATCAGAACAGAGAACTTCAAGAGCTTTATATAACTAAACAAATAAAAAATCATCCATCACCCACTGTATCAAGTACAGAGATAGAAAATAATTCTCACTCATCAAATAATACAAGTGTTGAAGAACATACTGTAGTAGAAGAGATTCTTACAAACATTGAAAATTTGCACGAAACATCAGAATTATGTACTAATCAGCAAGATAAACTATGTGGTCTTCAAGTACATACAAATAATGATCACATTCAGGAAGAAAATACAAAATCAGAGAATTTGGAAACACATATTGCTGTTAAATTCAATAAAATTCAGTGCATACATGAACACATTGGTATAAAAATAGAAAATGCAAATGCTACAATTGTATGCAGTAATAGTGATACTGAAATACTACAAGCTCCATTGGATGAAATAAGCGACAACACAAACAATAGTAGTAAAATGTCACATTTCCAACTAGATAAAGTAAATAATAGTCAAGATAACAAGGATAACAAAATTGTACAATTACAACTGGACAGGGTATGCAATAACCAAAATATCACAATATCTACCAAGCCTAGCAATAATGCTGGGAATAAATCAAAGAAAATAAAAAATAAAAATGTATATAGACAGGAAGAATCAGATAATGCAGAAGTACAAGCTAATGCATATCATAATCTTATAATACATATTGAGCAAAGTTTTCGAGAATGGATTACAGAGGATACACTTTGTCTTTTGCTGGATGAAGGGGATGAAAAAACTCAATTATTAAAAAATTTGACACAGCAAGATAGGTATGAACAATTGTGTAAAAAGTTAAATAGGTTGCAATTGCAAGATAAAAAGGAAGATCGTGCTAATTTTGGGAAAAATTTCCTGAAACCATCTTGCCCATTGCCTCATCTGTCTGTGCTACAAGAAGAAGGAAAAAAAATAGAATTAAAGGTACCAATATAGAGATTATTTAATAGAACTTATCTTTAAATCTTAATTGAAGATATATATGATCTATTAAACAATCACAGTTGTAATATATACACGTTACATGTGTATAGGTACGTGCGTTTTACCAAGGACAAATGGTAATTGTTAAAGACAACAAATCAAAAGATGGAAATGAGGATAAACAACCTATATTATCTTTAACAGATGCTCATGCACCTAATGCGCTCCGTCGACGAATTTTCTTGGATAAGCTCAATAAAATGTAAGTTATTTTAATATAATAAAATCACACAGATATTGAAGAATAATGAAAACTATAGCACTCAAGCCTTGACTAATTCTTATTAAAGCTCTTGCTTTTTTGCTGCGACCATCTTGATTAACAGTCAAATACGAGAAAGTACATTCCTAAAACTTTTACAATATATATATTAAAATATATTAAAATATATATTAAATATATATATTATATATTAAGATATATATTAAATATATTAAAATAAAAGATATGTTTATAAAGTAACATTTGTGATCGATTGAATAGATTTAAGATAATTTAAGAATATTTCCTTTGTTCAATAATTAATAAATAGTCAAGTAATCAATTAGGATAATTGATTATGCAGCAAAATAGGCTAGAACTTTTAATAAATGGAATATAATATTGAAGTATTTATTATTAATTATATAGATTACCAGATTTGCTGTGTACTTTAACCAATGCAAGTACTTCTTCTGTGACACAACGTATTTACGATAATGTATATTTATTAATTAAACTGTTGGTTAGCACTTTTTACTTATCTGCTACCAACATTGTTTTCAAAACTGCTGAGTGGACACTAGTGGGACTCATCATCATTAAGATGTAAATTATTATATATTTATATTTAATTATAAAGCCTAATATACAATGCCTAGAACCTAAAAATATATAATTTCAGGTTGAGCCTAATTGATATGCAAATGCAATCATTGCTTGCATCTAAACAGGCTTCCATGTACATGTCAATGATTCTTATGACTTACAAATTGGATTCGAATTATGTAAACAGACTCGTAATGGATGTAATAAACAATAAAAATACATGTAAGCCATAAAAATATCTCATTATAATAATGATATTTATAAATATATAATAAAAATATCTCATTAGAATAATATTTATAAATATTTTACAACAATAAATTGTTTTCCAACAAATTTGACTTTGTGTGTTAATATGTTTATCTCTATATGTCAATATGTTTCTTTTTATATATTTACCTCTATTTTATATTTACCTTTTATATATTTACTTTTATTTTTTTTATATATTTTATATATTTACCTCTATTTTATATTTTAATATAAAACATTTCCCAAAAAGCTAACAGTTACAATAGTTGTGTTACCGTTTATAATATTAATATTTTTTATCAGATTTTTAATATTGATATTCGTACAAATTTTGACACACATTCATATATATTTCATATTATTTTATATCTATGCTTCTTTATTTTTATATTGGTACATATTAAAAAAAATACTTTTTGTAGTATATAAATACCTCTTATCTGGATATTTATAATAACATAATTATAATTATAGTTCTTTAATTATAACTGTAGTAACTTTATAACTATTATAACCTTAAGATATCTGTACAACATCCTAGATTTTTATATTTTTATTAGTACTTAGATATTTGATTTCCTAAACAAAATATCTGATCTTACATATTAAATTATATTTATTATTACAGATTAATTACAAAACTTTTTTTGTATGTGTATTTGTATGTGTATTTGATAAGATTTTGTATGTGTATTTGTATGTGTATTTGATAAGATTTGAAAATCAATTATAGATACTCTGTAAATTTTTCATCAAATGCATATTATGCATTTTAAAGTGGACATGTACTTGATGTTGGTGTCGGTATCCCAGTGAGTGTAGAAGGAGAACAATCGAGACTCATGTCCATTTGTCCATTTGCTGCTAATTGATCTTCTGTAGAGTTACTACCGACCTTATCACGTAGAGATTCGTAAAGTGTATGTACTGCTTCATTGTGCTGTAAATTTAAGGAATATTTAATTAATAATTGTGCACATGACACAATTTGTAATTTTTTACACCAGATTTCTTGACTAGATATAGTGAATAAAAAATTAGGTGTTTAACGTTTCTTAAAAATTGCAAAATATTACCTGACTCGTTGGCTGCAAGGCTTTCAATAAAGAATGCAATCGTGTAGATGGTAGTTTAGGATATATATACCAAAGTAGCTTCAGCAAGTGTCGTGTAACGTTGTCTCTGCTTAAACCAGCTGAGAAAAATTCGTCAAAAATGACTGTACAGAATGACTCGTTTGAAAATTCGTCAGCCATATTTAGTATCAATAACGAAACCTGTAAAATTCATTGAAAAATTTGTCATTATAAAAATTGCATAACAATTCTTATAAATCCTAATGTGCAAGACGTCAAATATGATTATTACCAATGTATGCAGGAATGGATCTTCAAAAGCTCGATGTGCTTGACAATTTGGCAATATTGGTAATACCCTCATCAAGCCTCTAGTATCTCCCCTAACTCTTGTAACCCCACTACTTCCTCCAACGTGTAATACATAATACATCGACAAAACAGCTGCTAGTCCGGAGGTTTGAGCAAACAAGTGACATGCGTCGGGAGGGGGTCCAGAATGTTCTATAATCGCAATTGCACTCTCTCTTTCATCAGGCGGAAGTCTACAGTTGAGCTGCCTTATTTGATCATCAACCTAAGAAGCAACGTCACTTGTATATACTCGTATCATTATAATATAAATATTAAATTTTTTAATACGCCAAAATATCATGTATATTTGATTACTTCATAAAATTACCATAAGTGACATGAGTGCAGGTAGAAATTTTGTGACAACTTGACTGTCCATTTTTGGCTCCTTGAATATTTGCGTATCAATCATTTGCCAAGCAGACAATCCTAGAGCAAGCATCCTCAGCAGTAACAATAGCACTGCATTCTCTCTAGGTAATGATTCACTGTTTATTAGATGAAGCGCAATTTTGATTGCACTGCTAGCTAGAAAGTTTACTGCATATGGATCGCACAGAATCATACTCAGATCCCCTAACACCTGCTCTTGTCCTTTCTATACAGAACATAATAAAATTAGGTGATATTTCTCTTCAATTAAAATGATATTGTAAAATATAATCGAATCTTATACCTTAATACTATCTAAGAAGACTTGCAATTCACGAGATCTTTTAACGTCCACATTTTTCTCTCTTATGCACGCATCCAAACACCAAGTAAACTTATGGCAAGGATCCACAGAGATGATTTCTTGCACCTAATAACAAATGATATATTAACAAAACTAACACAATATAGTTTGCGCAACGTTATTGTGAAGCATATTCACCTCCAGATCATGTAACGCCATTAGCAGTTCTGCTCTTAGAGTACAGTAGTTAATATTCTTAGTGCGTAGAAATAAAGTCCTTAAAAATTGCAATACCATATCATACAATTTTACACTGTGCCCAATCATATGGGCTAACTTCTGTACAACATCTCCTTGCCTCCTCACCTATACAAGATGAAAAGCAAAGAAATTAGCTAATGAATATTTTATAAAGTACAAATTTTAAAACATTATTAATTGCAATGTACTTTAGGAGATGGTGTAAAAAACAAACTGTTCAAGTTGCGATGGTCGAATAAAATCTGTTCTTTTTCAATAATATAACGACTGAATAATGGAGAGACTTCATCTCCAAAAAGACTTTGATTGTCTTTCCAGATTTGACGTTTTACTTCTGTATCAGCATCATTATATAGTTCTTTCTCCCTAACTAATACTCGTAGGTATCTTTCTTCAATATGCGGAGTATTCCTCAAAATAGCCATCACAACAGGTCGCAACTGAGCAACTCTCACAGCAGTAAAACTTTTGGATAATAATTCTTTTAGCCTCTTATCCCCAGAAGTGCTTTTATCTGCCCTTTCTGCGCCAATCTCATTAATTCGTTTTATTAATTTTTCTCGTAATTCCTCGAGTACTGAAGCATGAAAGTCTAATCTTCTGACTCCATGTAAATCGAGCAAAGGTAACATTGGACGCAATGATGGTAACAATATACCATTTTCCATCTGAAATATGAAAGATATTATTATCATTATATTAACACGTTCACAATTTATTTAGAGGATTTCTCTTCTTATAATACACATTGTATTTTCTTATATATAATTATGTAAAACAAAGTTTGACAATATAGATATAAGAAAATTTATCATAATACATATGAGATGTCTCAAGTGAGAGATTGTTGTGGCACACAAATATATTAACTATATCTGCTGTCTGCTAATTATTTACCTGAAATTCTTCGATAGCTTTCAAAGGATCTGTGCAACTCGTCAAAGCATCTCTCAGATATCCCTGTCCAGGTATACCAAGATTCTCCAGTCCATGCCCAGCATCATCACTGTTCTTTGTCGAAATCATCATGCCACTCTTACACACTATATTATATCATACACACACATGTACTTATGTTCAACTAATATTTCAAATTGTATGTTTATTAATGTCTCATATCATAATGAATTTTAAAAATTAATTAGTATCGTGGTTTTCCTTTTTTTCATTTAAATGTCTCTTGCTATTCACTTTATATTACATTAAACAACCGATATGTAATTTTATAACCTCGTGACCTAAGAACCCTTTCTTTCTTCTTTCAATATTGATTTAAAAGCACCTTAAAAGGTTATATCTCCAACGCAATTACTCGATTAAGAATTCTATCGTTGATTGTGATCGTATTATAATATTTATTTGGTCTCTTCGATATGTTTCCCGGAAATAATTTCAAAGTATTCTCCAAAAAAAAATCACTAATTACGTCTGAAAGTTCAAACACGTCTGTACGCTACGGCTAAATGTTTATCGATATTCGAAATTACCGAATATTCGATATTATTTCAGTTTCGATATGAAAATATCGATTGGAAAAATATGAATAGGAAATCGAATAAATATTCTTTAACTGTCGAATATTTCGTTGAATATTTTTTTAGTGTATATTTTAGAATAAGAGCGTTAATATGTTGCGGTAAGAAATTGTAGTGATTTGTCAATTTCTTAAGGTTCTACATACGTTAAATTTCAATTTTAGTATAATAAAATATTTTTTCCTCAGTACTCAAACAGCACAGATCTCCAAAGGTCGTTCTACATAATAGCATGTTCGACTGACTCTGGGTTAACTCACTCTGGGTTCAACCTACGTTTATTGGTCGAACAAATACTTATAAGCTTAATGATTGGCTAATAGAGACTTATGACGTCATTAATCGCTCTCGGAGCGATTAACCCAAAGCCAGTCGAACACGTTATTAGTTGCAACTCTTGTTGCAACAGCCAATCAGAAGCGTCAATAGCACCATTGATGCTTCTGATTGGCTGTCGCAATAAGAATTGCGTCTGCTTGCGATCGGCTTGCAACTAATGTAGAACGACCTTAAAGCCCGTATCAGACTGGGTGTATATCAGTTGGACACGGGGCAATTGGACACAGTCCAATCACAAGGCGCTGTTCCAAGGAACCCTACAAATGTCTCTAATCACACGGTGCTGTGATTGGCTGTGTCCAAATGCACCGTGTCCAAGTGCACCGCTCCCATCAAACTGCCGACTCGACGCCTCACTGTGATTGGTCCATTGAGAGTCGGCAGTCTGGTCGGCCTGTGCAGACGGTAGTCTGATACGGGCTTTAAGGTCATTCTACAATAGCTGTAAGACTGAGTTCCCACTGAGCGCGTCACGCGTCGCGTCGTCTGCCTGAGTCACGAGTTAACCAGTCAAATCCTCTAATTGGGATGACGCGCGCGCGACGCACGACGCACTTGTTCCAATGGAACGATTTGATTGGTTAACTAGTGACGTAAGCAGACGACGCGACGCGCTCAATGGGAACTCAGCCTAAGGATGTATCTGAGATACAATTGGTGACAAAAGTGCTTGAAAAACGAAAAATTTGAATATCTGCTTCAAACGTGTTGTAAACCTAGTGATAAGTGATATAAATAGTGGCTAACATAATATATTTCTTATTTAAGAAGTTATTTTTTACTTTCTCAACAGTTTATTACTTTTATTTGGTTTTTCAACTTTCTATAATAAAACTTTTGGCAGGAAAAATACCCTGAATTCAACTTTAGAACATTAAATTTCGTATTTATTTAACATCAATATCCATTAGTGCAAAGGAGAAAAAGTAATTGGGATAAGTTAAAGGTAAATATACATTGTCTGAACAATAATTATCAATATTATTTATTGTTATTATAAATATTTAATAAAAAAGTTAAACGTAACAACAGCGTACTGAAAGATTACGAATAGGAGCGCCGCGTGGTGGCGCCAGCAACCGGGAGCGGTAGCGTCCTTCGACTATCGATTACGCGAGCAACCGATATCGATAGTATCGTGGAGAGCGCGCGCAAGTTCGAGAGCACAAAAGGCGCAGGATCGGAAACGAGACCGATTCGGGAAATATCGAGAAACTTCTAGAGATCCGGAAAAAGAAGCTTAAAAAGCGATTCGAGACGAGAGAGACACACTCTCACGGGCGCGGGGAAATCGAGAAGTCGATTGAGAGAGTCGTCGAAAAGTCGATTAAGAGTCGGAAGAGTTGTTAGATAATAGGCGGTATTTCGGTACGAAGTCATAGTATAAGTCGCGAGAAACGCTTTATATATTTGTAGAACAGGATAAATGTTTGGTGATTTGTCCAGAGACATTGGAATTATCTCTTTATTAATGTTCCTAGAAAGTCCTTAGTCCGGCAGTTCGAATCGTTCGGTCGTCGGGACGGTTAGGGATATTTACAACGAAGAGAGGAAATCGGGTAGAAATTTAAGAAAGAGAATTAGTGCTAGTTAAAACGAAGGAATTTATCTTTCAGTACCATGTAGTTTGTGGCTTGTACGTTGGCAGTAATGCACTGTGCAGGCAAGTTAGATGAAACAATAAAAGCCTCAAATTTCACATTTATCCTATTGTTCATCGAAATTATTTAATTTGTATTCTTGTCCTCTCTGCATGAAAAAATGGGTTAGATGACAATTTCTCGAAAAGTGGAGGGAATAATATTGGTACTAAAGAAAATCTCTACTCAATATAGTTTAATGATCTGTTCTTGCTGCACTGCTGAACTAATGCAAAAGGTTAGAATGAGAAGAAACTTGTTTCCCTTCAATTTATTGCACCAGTTCAGCAGGAGTGAGTCCCAGATGCGCACATTGACAAACAGACACATCCAATCATATGTCGTTGTTTATAGTCTCTAGAATATCTCTAATCATACGGCGTTGTGGTTGGCTGTGTCCGTTTGTCAATGTGCGCATCTGGGACGCTCCCTTCAGCAGTGCAGTTATAAAGAATAGGCCTTTAAATTATATCGTGTAGAGATTTTCCTTGATACTAACATTATTCCTTCCACTTTTCGGGAAATTATCGCCTAACTGAAACAATACAGACAGAACAAGAATTTACGACGTAATTTTATTATACTGATTTATAGGTTATTCGTTTGACACATCAGCTGATTGCAACGTTGTCGCATTTCCACAGTCCAGTTATTAACTCCTTACGATAAAATTGTCACAAATAAAAATTAATTTTTTTGAAATCGTATTGTGAACCACCTCTCACCTCCCGAACTACCTAATAATAAAATGCGTCTGATTCGCGTCTGTTTGTTGTATTTCCGCACAATGATAGTAAGTAAAAAAAGGACACACGTCCAATCGCTCTATTCTTGTTTCCATTCTTATTTCCATTCTCTATTCTTATTTCCATTCTTGTTTTCATTCCCTATTCTTGTTTCCATTCTTGTTCACCACTGATAATTGGGCCGCGCACTAGGCACGAAGCGAGCTAGCGGCGATATTATCGCAAAGCTAAATCATCTCTCATCAGTCTCGTCTTTCTCGCGGATATTATTACACGATTGTCCTGCAGATATTATTATCACTAACATTTAATATTCGAGTATTATTACTTCTTTATTCGGTTATTATTTAATTTATTATTTAATTATTGCTATTACGTATAGGGGAAAGCAACTATGTATATAATACTCTCGAATAAATGGTAGTGATATTAATACCTGATTAATAATCGTATGATAACATCCGCATGTGGATAACAGTGATCGAATAATCGAAAATAACAATGAATAACAATAACTGAACAAATAATAGCGATAATAACTGATTAATGACGGGGTAAATAAAGTGTCGTAACAGCACGCCCGAGTTGTTTTCCTATGCGTAATAGCAATAATTAAATAAATAAGAACTGAATAAAGAAGTAATAATATATTCGAATATTAAATGGTGAAATATTAAATGGTGAAATATTAAATGGTGGAATAGTGATAATAATATCTGCTCAACAATCGTGTGATAATACCTGCGAGTGGATAATAACGAAATAATGATGATCAAATAATCGGTAATAACCATACCTGGGCAACAGCTCTAACAAAAACTCTAGGCTCCACAAAGGCTAGGTAAACAGACTGTCGTAACAGATCGCTCGTGCCGCTGACAGAGCGGCGCTTGGGGAAGCGCGCGGCCGAGTCATGTAAACATGCATGCGCGAGCACGTGCTTAAGTGTCACGTCACACTCTCAACTGTCGAAACAAGTACATCGGGAGCTGTCGCGTTATTTTCTAAATTATTTCACGCTAATTTTTAATACCGCATTTTGATTTCGCCACAATTACACATTAATTAACACGAATTGAGATGCATATTTATCAGACGAGCAGGTGTTGTGGGCGTTACCGCAGCGGGTAATTATCGCGTTTTATTTATTTTTTTACTTGTTAGAGAAACGTCGCGATCGAGTTCCTCAATGCCAATCACACACACACACACACACACACACACACACACACACACACAAATATTATCATCATTCATTTATTATTCGAGTCTTATTATTTCTTTATTCGGTTGTCATTTAAATATTTTTATTATATATTGGGAAGCAACTCGAGCGTGCTGTTACGTCGATTTCTTTTCACCGTCTTGCTGTCGCGTATAACTATTTGATACTAATTTATAAAATTATTAATTGGTACTAAATTAAATTAAATTTCTGTCACAGAGATCTAATAGAGAAAATGCGGCTCTAGGAGATGCGATGCCTGGGGGATACCGCGCCGGAGGATTCGACTCGGGCCTGGCTGAGTCGGCTCGAAGGTAAGCTTCATTGATTTGTATTCGTGATTATAAATTTGTCAAAATTGAACATTTTTTTGCTTCAAATCGAGTTCCTTAATGCCTCTATTGTCATGTAATTAATTAATACTCAATTAAATTTGCTTTCTGTTGCAGAGACGAGCACTCGACTCTAAGGGAATGCTGCGCCGGAGAATCCGGCTCGGGCCTGGCAGAGTTGGCGCGAAGGTGAGTTTCACTGATTTAAATTCGTAATTAGATATCCAATAAAACTAGAAATTCTCTTGTTTGAAATCAAGTTCCTTAATTTCTCCATTGTCGTGTGTAATACTAAATTTAAATATGCTTTCTGTTGCAGAGACGAAGCAGACAACCAGCCGATTCTTAGGAGCCGGAGGATCCGGCTCAGGCCAAGCGGGGTTAGCTCGAAGGTTAGCTTTCCTAATTAGCATTTGTAATTATAAATCCAATTGATTGATAATTCTCTTGCTCAAAATCGAGATAATTTGAATCGAGTCAAAGATCGCGTTAAATCGTAATTACACGCGGGGAGAATTTTTTCCTGAGTAAAATCACCACTTGAAAGATGCTGATTTGTTCTAATTAAGAGATTTATTTGAAACGTCGAGAAAAAGAAAAATGTGGAACATTCTAAGTGTGAATTCATTCCGAAAAATTTTCCCAGCGTGAAAAATATCGTGTACTTATTATTTTTTAATATTACAAACTTCTTCACTCAAACTAACATCAATGCACGAATCTAATCGGCGAATTTTTCTGTTCCAGAAACGAAAGCAGAACGTGGTTGCCCTGATCGGCACATAGGAAGATAAAAAAATTGGTAATAAAAAGATAAAAAATCTTTCC